GATCCGCACGGGCCAATCGCTCCGAGTCCAGCCTGTGGAAGTGGAGCCTGCCGGAGCAGGACAGCCAGCCCGATCCAGCCCCGGCAGCCCCAGCAGCCCCCTGGGCAGCACGGAGGGGCTGCACCGGACCACTTCCCAAAGCAAGGAAGAAAAAGTTGAAGACACTCGGGAATGCCTGTTTCAGAGTACGCAGGGCTGCAGAAAACCTCTTCCTCCTCTGCTCCACGCCACCCGGCTGATGACTCATCTCTGGGAGAAGATGCCCTCACTCATTTTCTAAAAATCATACCCCTGTTTGCCAAGAAAAGGTCCGTTTATGGCTGTCTGAATCCCCAAAACTGCATGGTACAACAAGCACTGGAACAAATGAAGCCCTTGGGATGAAAAAAAATCAACAACACCTAGCAGCAGGCAGGCACTCAGCAGTAAACAACACCCAAAAGTCCCTAATATTAGTGTTACTGAGAACTGGTCACAACCTGGAAGAGGGGAAGGGGATGGAGAGTTTCTCTGTTCTTCAGGTTCCTCACCATAACATCTCTCAGTTTTTTTAACAGAGAGGTATCTGTTTTCATTTAGTCTTATATATCAACCATTGAGTTTGCAAAACATACCATTTCTTTAGTTCATCAAATGGAAGCAGAACATTGCCATTTTTATCAGCAAGCGGGCACCAAATGTGAGTAAAAATATACCGAAAATGCCCTCCTAGTACACCTGTCAAATAATTTTCCATCACATTTTAAAATACCAATATTTTGGTTCAATACACCCCTAGCATGAGCTGATTTCTAAGGGAGCAGAGCTCTTGCCAGGGAGTTTTGTGATCAAGACAGTTTCTGATACGAGCACCGCTGGCCCATGGGAAGCAATTGCACAGCCCTGGAGATCAATTTCACAGGATCACAAAACAGGGAATGATGGCAATGCAGAAGGCTCTTCCACCCACCTGGCTGAACGGTCTCCTGCCAAAAGCCATGTGCAGGTAGGAGGGCAGGGGAAGGCAGAGGGGAGGCAGCAGGGTGGCCAGCCAGCACAGATCCTGCACAGCTCAGGAACCATGCTGCCGCTTCCCAAATCCATGCCCCTTCCCATGAGGCCAGTGTCAAGCCAGGGGATGGGGAGCTGACAGCACTGCTGGAGTGGCTGCAAGCCCCGGGCAAAAGGGGCTCAAGCCCCATGCCAATCCATGGGCGACCTTGACCTCCCCAGACTCCACTTGGACATCTACCTGTGGTGACATTATTGTCTGTGTCCTGTTCTCCGGCCTTCAAGCCAACAAAATGTCATGATGTGCCTTTGTACGATGGAGCTCTCCTCGCACGCCCAGCCTGGATAAGGCTGCCCATCAGGGCAGGGCCATGGGGTGGCATTGCCCGGGAGCTGCCTGCTCACAAAGGACAGGGTCAGGCTAGCTTGAAAGGGTAGCGGTAGCCACCTAAATGTGATGGGGGAAAGGACAGTTGTCTCATTCAAAATTATTCATTAAAATTTTGCTCTGTGCGAACCCCTTAGGGCAGGGTTTTACTGCGATGCAATCTGTTCTCATTACACCTTATGAATTTTATTCCTAACTGACGTGGGACTTTTGCAGTGCCATAAAATGGAGAAATATAATTCTGGGTACTAGAAATTTAAAATGAATGCTCTAGACTGAAAGCCTCCATTACCTGTTATTACCATCCACAGCACATGCAAATCCTGTACTTGCTGGTTTTTGCTCCAGGCATGGCTGAATGGTCTTCTCTGAGACTCCCAGGAGGGACTTCAAACTCAAGAGAAAAGAGGTGGCACCACTACCATCTATACTCCCAAACAGGGCAGCCAGGACTCCCTGCCTTGCTGTGCAAAGCGAAGAGGCGGGATTGCCACACAGGTGCGAGTGGAGAGAGCCTGAGCAGCAAGGAATGGATGGTTTCCATTCCCACCCTAGCTTGCCAAGTCAGCGTGTCAGTCACTCGGCTGCTGTCTTTTGAAGAACAAATATCTCAGAGACTCCCGAGTGTCAATGATGTGCACAGTATTTATCCAAAGAGACATTACCACCGTGCAGGGAAATTCTTATTTGATTAATCTACAGTCCTTTGATCTAATTCTCCTTATAAAATGCTATTGCTAGTGGAAAAAGCAATTATTAACATTTCATAGCACTCTGTTTAAATTTTCATAGGGATTTCTTTTTCTGTTGGAAAATGCATTGACTTTTTCAGCTAATGGGATTTTGTATTCTTCCTTGCAGTATTTCCAAAGACAGGGAAGCAGTTTAATAGAAATGTAATGCTTCAAAATCCAGCCCAAAGAAACAAAAACCAAGGCAAGAGCCTGAGTAAGATATTGACTAGGGAACAAGTCCATTAAGGGCTGAACAAGCCCAGTTATATGCTTGTAACAGTGCGCAAAGCACCAGCCCTGGTGTCCCTGTGGCTGCCCATGCTTCCCATGTCCCTGCTAGAGGGTAAGCGACAGGGCAGAGCTGCCCTCCCAGCTTCCCCAACAGCACATCTCAGCGCTCACGAAGGGCAGAACGAGGAGCCTCCATTGCAGGGCGATGATTTTCCCTTCCTCCCGGACACGAGGGTCCAAACACAACTTCAGAGCCAGAGGGCTGCTTCAGGCTCGGTGCTGCCGAGTGCTGCCTCTGCCGAGGCTGAATTCTTTGGCTCCAGTCCAGCACTTACATATTAGTCAAATAAAACAAGAAACAACAAGAGTTAGCTGGTCTTGCGGTGCTCTTTTGAAAGCTCCTGTGCTTGAAGTTGTGCACACTGGAGGAAAATAGTTGTCTTCATTGCATAGTTCTAAAATGACTGTCTCCTCATTCAGTGACTGCCTTGACACTCCCTGCTTATTTTAAAAAATGCGTCATTCAAATAAGGAAACCCCTTTGGCCGTCAATTTTTCAGACAAAAAGTACTACAGAAGCCTAAGCTGTTACAAAAGAGCGCTAATATTCATATTTCAGTCTCAGTCTACAGACTGTTTCTGGAATAGTTAATAAAGCAACACTGAACTTCATGCTAATGCATCTCATAAAAGCACTTCAAGATGAAAGCTTCCCTGTGCATTTTACAAAGGCTGTGGGGGAGCTCCAGCACACACCTGAAATTGCTGCCTGTCACGACAGCAGCACAGTCCATAAGATGGAAACCCAACCCCACGTTCCCATGTCACGACTGATCCACACAGGAATGGAGATTCCTTCATAAAACCACAGCTAGAATTAGTGATTTTAAACCTGAATCAGAAATGTCCGCACTTATATCTATAGTGTAATACCTACGTGTCACAGCTAGACAGCTAACGTGACAAACAGTGATTCGATGGATACTGAAATTTTCTGGAAGATCAGGAAGTTTCACTTAAAGGTTTATTAATAAATCACAGCACTACTGACACCTGCACAGTGTTTATTAGTATAATTGACAAAGTCAACTCAAGGATGTGTACTCTTCTCTGTATGCATTCATAGCCAGAACTGCAACACTTGATTTTCTGTTCATTGATTTTTATGTCTCTCTTCCACCTTTTCTCCCTGAAACTGCATTTGGTGTGAAAGAGAAAGAGTAAACTATTTGCAGAAAAAACCTGCCCCAGGGCTATCCATATATACCTAAGTATCACAGGCAGTACTTGAGATCTGCTTCCCTTTCACTGAGGGCAGGGTGCTGTAATCAGCTGGAGAGAACAGCGCAGTGTACTCTAGAAATACTAAAATATATCTCACAATGAACTATATGCTTACGACCAGCTTTTCAGAGCAAAACAACAATGTGAATCTCTATGCACCACCTTGGCCTTAGAGTATTACTCACATAGACATGAGGCAATGCTATAAGCAGCAGGGTAGTTGAGGGTAAATTGAGATGAAGAGCATCTTCCCACTTACATTCACACACACACACATATATATGTAACAGGACTGCTTACTCATGTCTTATAATTCACCCCTCCTAAGTAACTGTGAGATAGGTCCATGATGTTGTACGTGGCATGGAGTTCTTCGGGCTTGGATTGAACCTGCAGTTCTCACACAGTAATCAGCCACTACTTCTTCCCACCGTGACCCATTTCCCTTTTATTGTTAGTTGCACTTATCTTGTTATAGCACATCTAAAATTAAATGGCAACTTGATGGCTTCTCTTCATTTGAAAGCACTGGTGCTATAAGAACAACACCACTTCCTAACCACTGGAGGAGCACAGTTGTTATTAACATTAGTGACATGTAGTTAGAAGAAGCCGGAAATTCTTGTTTTCAAGTCACAGAAGAAAAAAAATCAGACTTGTTGATCTCTGGATTGCCTTTTATAATTCTGCAGCTAGACGAATAGTACCATTTGCTGGATTATGGCCAAAACTCCAATGTACTATAAATCCAATATATCCTATATTGGAGTCCTACCCACATATCTTATCCCTATCCTATCCACACATCTTACATTTCTTACCTGTATCTGCCTTTACAGATGCCTGCACAGCAGCTTATGTTCTAACAGCAGGCAATTCCTCCTTTCTCCAATTTAGGAAGAGAAGAAAGTCCTGTGCGGGGAACCCAAAGCTGTGTTTATTATGAGGGTTTCACTTACTTCACGTGTTTTGAATCGTATCTCTGGGACCAGGACTTTTAAAAGCAGAAGTTCATTGCCTGCTGCTTAGGAAAAATGTTTTACGTTTGAATGCAGATGTTTGTTTGAGAGATGAGCTGGGATTACTACAGGCTGCAAACTCATTTATACAGGGCATGAAACAGCAGGGTCTCCAGAGCAGCCAGAAATGCTTCCCTCTGGCTCAGAGGCTCTTTGACTGT